AACATAAAAAGTGGAATCTCTCTCTTTATATGGTGTAGTTGATCTGGGGAGGTGGTTTACTTAATATGGGAAAAATTGTCAAAGCGTATCTTGTTCAGAATTACTCTTGATTGCAGTATTCTTGACTGGTGAACTAACTTCACTTTCAGCATCCTTTGGGCAGGATAAACTTGGCTAACTGCACGAATCATCAGATTGAACCTGCCAACAGGGAGTTCTGTGCCCGTCCCAACACTTTTGAACTAACAACTGTCCGTCCTCAGAGGGAAGATGACAGAGAGACTCTTGTCAGCCAATGCAGAGACACGCTCTGTGTTACAAAGTGAGTGGATAAAATCATGAAGATTGTGGGAGGTTATGGGATGTGTGTAGGAGGGGTGTTTTGCCTCAAGTGATAGTTTTAATAACATAGGAACTTGACAACTTTGACACTCCATTACAAAGCTCATTTAAATGCTAAGACTTTGGGATGACGCTTGAGCTGTTTTGATAACTTTTAGTCTTAATTTGTCTTGCTGTCCAGTTTCAGTCTTCTGAGAACGAACTCCACTTTTCCAGAAGTGGAAATGCCAGGTAGCTAGCTTGGTAGCAGGCTTGTGGAATATTCGATTTTGGTTTTCCCCTGCTATTGGAGCTTCCATGGATGATCAGCTTGACATTTTTCAGCGTAACTAAGTAGAGGTGGAAAAAAGCTTTTTAAATCCATGGAGTTCTTTGCTTTTCAGGAACTGGCTGTCTGCTGATACTAAAGAAGAGCGTAACCTCTGGATGCAAAAGCTCAACCAAGTTCTTGTTGACCTTCGCATGTGGCAGCCTGATGCCTGCTACAAACCTATTGTAAAGCTTTAAACTCTGGAAAGGAAATATGAAGAAAATATGTATGCAAATCCTCACATAAACTACGCAAAAAAGAACTTAAATGAGAATGTGGGAAGTCCTCTGTGTCACGCTTTAAATTTGAGAGAGTATGTAACATTATACAGGACTGTTATGCAGTATTTTTATTTCACTTTAAGAACTTTAAAACTTTTTACTTCCTAGCTTTTGAGTCTGGTAGGAAGGAATTAGGTGTTTCTAAATGTGCTAAATATTTATGTAACTCCTTTTTTGGAAGTCTTTTTTAGCTAAGTGCATTCTCTTCTTCAAACAACTAAATTATTGTAGGAAATCACACTTCAGGGCAGGAAGGGAGGGGGCAAGCTAGTGAAAAAAAACAAGCTTGCTAGTAAACTCGGGTCCCTGAGAGAAATGAGCTCAAAGTTCTCTGTAAGGATGGTGCTGAAGCACAAGATTTAATATTGGAGGACTTGTTAGGTGTTTTTGTAATGATCAGGCATAGACATTACTAGTAAATTTTATTCTACAGCATGCAATATAGGTATTTCCTCGTTGCACATTGTCCTTGTGGTCAGAACAAAAGGCATGCACAATACATTCATACTTTTGCAATTTCTCATACAAACTTGTATGGGTAAGTGCATGGCATGTATACTTTGTGGTTTACAGGTATGGAATTATATATGCAGTATATTGCACTTTGATAGAAAAGAGAGGTCTTGAATTTTTTTTTAGGACTACTATGTTAAAAAAAAAAACCAGAAAAAATAGTTTTAGGGTTGTATACATCAGTATTTTCTGGGGCTTGGTTTGTACAAGCTACAATTCTCCACTTGAGAACCAGGAATAGGCTGTAAGAATACTTTTTTTTTTCATAAGACACTACGAAGCTGCTATATACCAACTAATACTCCACTGGCCAAAAGTATGAGTCTTCCTCTCCTGCTCATAGACGTGTCCATAAATGCAGTTAAAAACAGTACTTCACGCCCATGGTTAAAATTGCAAAACTTGTCAGTTAAGGCTCGCAATTTTCACAGCTTTGCACTGGGCTTAGTGAAATACTATCTCATTACTCCACTGCATTCGCAACAGTGGAGTACTTAAAATTGCTTCTGCTGTTATATATTCACACTTGGAACACTAAATTCTGTTAGCTTATACTGTTTTCATCCTGCCACTTTTGTACTTGCTTTTAAATCTACTTTTCTTTTTCTGATGTTTTTAAAGATTTCCAAACTATGTATTGAGATCTTATTCCTTTGAAATAAACAATAAAATGCTTTATGCTTTTTTGATAATGTCATCTATGCACTTGAGATAGTAGTTTGTAGGCTGAAGAAGAAAAGCTGACCTGGATAGTGAGTTCTAGGTGCAAACTGTCAGTGGCAATGATGTCCACTCCTGTGTCTGATTTCAAGCAAAGCTTTAAGTTTTTGCAAAACAGTTCATGAACAGAATGACATAAAAAAAACCCCTTCCCATTTGCAGTGTACTAGATCTAGCCACATTATCCCCCCTATAATCATGTGCTCCAACTCTCCCCTCAAAAAGACGTTGATAGACAATTTCTAGAAATCTGTATTGCCATAAAGCTTGAATTTCATGGCACTATACTTAGCTTTCCCAGACAAACATTTTTTTCTTGTTTATTTCTCTCTTCCCCATGTGTTTGTCACCTTCAACCAATCTAGGCACCAGGAGACAGCTAAACTAATAGAATAGACTAGGATACACAGTTTGTTACTGGTTTAGAATAAGTAAGCTTTTTTGGAAGCATTTGTTTAAATACAGGACACATTTTTTGAACAGTATTGGTAAGTGATTGATGGTTGGGGGTGCAGATCTTCAGATGGTTTTAGCATTTCTTTGAAATAACAGAGAAGCATAGTGGTTGTGAAAGCTGACAGTTTAACAGGCCCAAAATTCATCTTTATTTGCAGATAGTTACTGCATTAGTTATCAACCAAGTTTCTGTGTACATCCCAATTCTGAACTGTGGAGCTTGCCCCTGAGCCAAAGCCCATTTCCTGAAGTCCCTCTGAGACCCCCTATCGAGCATGGAGCAATTATACTGGGCAAATCTGAGAGCTTTGCTTTGGGATTCATCTATGGGGATTTCAGGTCATCTGGAGAAGATGCTGTTCTAATTTTAAAAGAAAGCTTTTTTCCCGTTGTTCAGAAATTCAAGATGTTCACTAATAAGAAAGTCTATAAATGGAAAATGCTTTGCTCTGGGCAATGACGCTTGTTTTAGCTGAGGAAATTTCAGTTTTACTAGCTTGTAAAACTCCTAATTGCTGTTATTAAATCCCAGTCTCAAATGGAATACAATAATTTTCAATGATGTTGCCTGAAAATCTGGCTTATAAACACATACTGTTCCCTTCCCCCTTTTAACTGCTGTATTTTTGTGTAGAGGAAATTATCTGATATTCTATAATTATTGTCTGTGCTGCACTTGGTCTATAGTAAAACCACATGGATGCATTTGTGTCTGTCTTTGTATTGTTTTGAATGAAAGATAGGACGCCTGAATAAGTAATAAAAAAAAATAGTTAGAAGGTGTTCTACCTGTCCTGTGTGCATTGAATGTTATCTTGTTTGGTGGAGGGAATTGCACAGAAAGCAGATGGATTTCCTTTTCCTTGTAATACTAAATAGTCTTCCTCAGACATGCCTCTGTAGAGTTGAAACTGTTTCTTGGGAGACTAGATATTTTGGTAACATGTAATGTCTTGAATGAATTGGGACCTTATTAGTATCATTCAATTAAGGAATGTATTCTCTTTTGGTTTCTTAAAGTGGGTGACTCGAATATTTCCTTAAATATTATCAGTTGTCCCAAAGGAATTTCTGTCTTAATAAAAGATGTGTCACTGACTGTATTTTAAAAAGAAAGTAAGAGGATCTGGGTTAGCAGTAATATGTTTTTCAATCAAAATAGTCATCCTCTGCCTATTCAAAACACAGAGCTGGTGCATCTCCTGCAGCCACAGCCAGTGTGCTAAGGTCCACACCAAACCCTTTAGTCTGGACCTAAGAGCTGGCTCACGGGTAACCCAGCTGTATGCACGGAACATTTTCAGAACAGAGAGCAGAGCAAATCTTCCTCAGCTTTGGCTAATTGGGATGAGTTTTCGCCATGTCACATTAACACTTTGTGTTTACCACTATTTACATTTTCTATTTTTTTTTCTATTTACCACTACTAACATTTTCTGTTTTTTCCATGTATAATTAATGACATGCTGTCTGATCACTCCATCACCAGCAGGGCTGCAAGTGGGGTAGAGCTGTCTATTTATTTATTTATTTGTTTATTTTGCTAAAAGCATTGGCTAAGCTGGCAAAAAAAAACCAAAAAAAAAAAAAAACCTCAACTAGTAACTCTCAACCTTCAAGTCCATGTATGAAGTAAAGCAGGTAAGAGCTGTACAGTATCTTCAACATTTCCCTAGGTCACGCCTGTAAAAGGTACAGGACTGGGTATATCATATTTGTTAGGAAGCAAAAGAGCAAGGATGTATTAAAGCCTGTAAAAGTGACCTGTTTTAAATACATGAAGGGTTGTCAAGTTACTGTCTTGTTAAAGGGGGTGAAGAGAACATGTGCCTGCAGTAAGGCTGCCAGACAAATCAAAATTCTAGCGTCTTGCTATTCCTGGCATGTTTTAATAAGCAAAGAGCAGCTAAATAATGTATTGACAGTCAGGACAATTACATATGCACAATTTATAGCAACATTATGAGTTTGGGGAGTTTTTTTGCCTCCCTTTTGGGATCAGATTAACTTGAAACAGTACAAATGAAAAGCTCAGAAATAATTTTCTGCAGGGGAAATAAAAAAAAAAAAAATGAGGTAGGGCTAGGAGTTTGCTATATATGGAAAAAAATGTATGGATTTGGAAACCAGTACAATAAATGGTCTAGCTGGCGTGTATCCTTTTATTTTTTTATTTTTGTAGCTCCACAGCAAAAGCATAGCCTACTTGTGCAGGTGAAATACAAGGCTGAAAAGGATGCTGTTACATTATGTCCACTGCTACTGGCTCTGATAACTTGCCCTCCCCTTTTTTTGTGTGTGTCTTTAATCATCTTGTTCCATAAAACGCACTGGGAGGCATCACCCTAATCCACACCAGGACTCCGGCGGTTTGGAAGTCAGTGTCCACCTTGATCTTTGAATATGGCTTCAATCTGGTCATTGAATGGATTCTCCTTCCCAAGCACTTGAGGCCATTCAAGCAGCATCTTCTGCCAGGTAATGCTTGTTCCGAGGGCTGCAGCAATCTGCAAACAGCACAAATATTACCAATTTCTAGAATTTAGCTGCTTTATGACAGTGCTTAGGAGACCCTATCATAAAGAAGACACCTCTGCATAGCCAAGTGATGGACTGTAACCTCTAGCCAAAGAAAACACCCTGGTGCAGCTGCTTGAATAGGGGAAAAATCCTTCTGAAGAGTAAAAATAAGATGAGGACTATATATCTTCACCTCCCTGACCAGTCATTCGGTCTAATGATATTGTGCCTATGATGTCTGATCCATAAACTTCTGTTCAAAAGCCCTAGAGTCTGATCTCCCCTCTTGGAAAGAAGAAAAAAAAAATAAATTTGAAAATATTTCAAAAGCACTGCTTGGTTACAATGCATAAGATTCTTGCAAGCCCAGAGGAATTCCTGCTCCTAAATGCCACTGATACTTCTGACAAATAATCTCCCTGCTCTCCTATAAGGAAACCATGGGTGTTGAGGAAAAAGCGGCTCAATTAGATCTAGGTTCAAAACTACCCAGCTCTGATGCTCTAAATTCGTACCTGCTGCTGGTTGTCTTCAGAGCTTTTCTCCATAAGACCTGGAGAAGCAGTAAAATAGCTTTTCTCCTTGCTATCAGAACCACTCTGGCTTTCATAAGAGTTTTTGCCCTAGAAGTTATACACCAAAGAGAAATGGTATCTGCTATATCCCCAGGGTGAAAAGCATCAGTGGTAGGAAAAAAGGGGAAGAGAGAACAGCCCAATTCTCCTTTAAGCAAGTTTTTGTACCCTGGTAATGCATTTTTCTTTTAATTTCTGACTCACAATTATGTCCTGCTTATATGGTAACTTTAAATCCTAAAACTCTGACATGGTTTATAATTTTGAGGCTTACATAGGGCTAACAAAGCCTTTTTATTAAGGGCCAAGAAGCATTTATGGAATCAAACTGAATACTGATGTTTCAGAGTTTGGGGACAGACTGTAGCATTTGGAGAATTTTTATTCATTTCTTAAATCCTGTGCTTTTTGAAAGAAAGGCTGTAGGGATGGGCCAGGAGACAACACCTTTCTTTTATTGAGAGGTAACGGACAGAGACACTTTTGTGGGGTGGAAGCTCTTAGGCTCTTGTTGCTTGAGGTTTTTTTTCATCAGCGTCTGGCTATCTGTTTCCTCCTTCTGCACCCAACCGGTGATGGGCACGCCTCTCAGCAAAGTGTAAATACTCATCTGATATGTGTCCTTTTTTTTTTTTTTTTTTTTTTTTCTCTCGCTGGAATGTGCTTTGCTGTGTCTTAAGGAAAGAGAAAAGGGAGAAGCTAATCAGGCTCAAGCTGTGCTTTCCTGCCTGTACATAATCATTAAGAATCTTCCAAGCGTCTCAAGCTGCAGTCTGTGATGCTCAGGGCTTTCGCGTTCTCCCTGATAACTTCATAAAAACAAGAAACGAAGCCGTTTAGGCAGGATCCTGTTGAAATGCATGGCCCCGTCATCCAAACAAAGCAATCAGCTCTTCTAGAGAGAAGGAATGTCCTGGGAGCCATCTGGCGCTCAGAACGGTTTGCTGTGGGAATTCATCGTAAGGGAGAGATGATGGAGAAAAGGCCCTGGGCTTCCGCTGTGGTCAATGGGAGAAGAAAGTCAGATTTCTTACAAGGATAACCAATCCGGACTTCAGGAAACGGTGTCTCAGAGTTAACTTGGGAGGACTAAGTGATGCATTTTGCTTTTAGGTGCCAAAAATAAATGGTGTGAATTTCTTTTACCTATGGCCTGAGCTGGGTGTTTTGGGAAAGAGCCTCATAGAGCCCAGTTTAGCTTTGAAACGTAAAAAAAAAAAATGCAGTTATGCCAAGAATGAGTGTCTTGTTTGCAGCTTTCTGTTTAGCAACAGGTAAACATGCAGGAAAAAAACCCTCTTCCTCCCTAAGAAATTTGCAGTAAGGGGATGTAGTTCTGGACCTGGATAAATAAATGATCTCTTAGTGTTTATCCCTTCTTTCAGGGGTTTTTAAATGTAAAATAGTGCCTGGAGTGGGAACTATGTGGGCTAGTTTTTCCTGCCTGAGTGTCCTAACACTGCCTTTTTCCAATGCATGAAAAAAACAGAATAGCTTTAGTGGGACAAAGGGAGTGTTGCCTTTTTTATTATTTTCTTTTCTTCCTTCTTGCAATGATAAGGACACAACTCTCAACTAAGAAGGTTCAATTCCCTTCCACATCCCTCCTGCACAGCTGGACTGCTGGACTGTCAGATACACATGCTGACACCTGCTTCTGCCAGCAGATGTTTTAAAATTATTTTTTAATTAAAGAGACAGCAGATAAACACAGGTGAAATCCAGGGGCTGCCATCAGATACCAGCTTATCCTGCCCTCTGCTGCATTGTGACAACTAGGGATCACGGTCCTTGTATCCCTCATTCCAAAGTTTCTCTGCAAGATAGTTTCTTCTGAAGGTAAGAGCTAAAATGTTTATGCTTTCCTTGGAGCACTGCTCGATTATAAAATTAGTGAATATCTGTCAAGCGCTTTGAGATCTTCAGAGAGCGAATTTGTTAGAAATGCCCAGGCTGGGTCTTATCCATTGTGTTTATTAGTCAGGCTGTATGTGAGGTGTGGGGAATAGCTGCAGAGGTTGAAGTAATAACCCTCGTTCCTTCGACAAGCATCAATCCTCTCCCACTGGCAGCCTGTATGGCATGAAAGCTGTACCTGGGCAGAGACATAAAGTAAAACTTTAAATAAGACTAGTATGAGGAGGGACTGAATTGTTTATAGTCTCTCTCAAGTGTCCTTCTAAATATCACTCTCTGCTCACACTTCCCCTTCTTTTTATTAAGAGAGCCTCTCTTTTGGAGCAGAGTGCGACGTCTCAGTCCAAACAGTGGTCTGTTGATAACAGTCTTCCTTATACTAGCAGGAAAAGAAAAATGGATTTTAAGCAGTGGATGTTTGCAAAAGGCTAATTAATAAATCCTGGAAGGGCAATAACTCACTTGAAGGGAGACATATCTACAGCTGGCACCTTGACTGTAAGGGTAAACACACCTATAAAAGCATTAAAGTCAACCTAACAGCAGGAGGGGGAGATCATAACCACCGCAGGATGCTGGGTCCAGAGGGACTGGAATATGGCAGCGCTTGGCCGGATCCTACAGCTTGGCTCTCCAGGGGCTGTGTGCAGGTTTGCAGCTGCCCTTCAACACCCTTTTGTCATTTTCTTTTGGCTTAGGCAGGATCCCTTTAAGAGAAATTCTTGCTGCCTTCACCTCTGTGTTACCTTCCAGCTGCTGGGGGGATACGGGATGTGGGCAAGAGCCTGGATGGAAAGCTGGGATGTGGCAAGCTCAGCTCCACCGGTGGCCTGTTGCTGGGGTTATAAGAAGCCTCAGGCCAGCCTCAGGGTAAGACATAAAAATAAATCAAAGACCTTTTCTTCTTCACTCCAGCCTCTTCCTATTGCAGTTTCCCCAGATGGCGGGTTTGGGAATGGGCTTCATTTCATCACTGTTTTCACTCTTGGTTCATTTGCCAAGTTTTCTCTAATTGCTTCCGTGCTTGCAACGTGCTCCCGTTGAAGTGCTTCTTCGCAGACTGCTCTCCCCCAGCGTGGAAGACAGCATTGCGTCGGCTTATTTGGTAGTGGGGTTGAATATCTACGGAGTGTTTTCTCTACGGTTTTTCTCAGGGCGGTACGGGGAAGTCTGGCTGCTGCTTTGCTTTCTATGCGTGTTTGGAATCTGAAGCTAGTGCACAGAAAAGCGATTGGTTTTGTTTGTGTCTGATTGCAGGACGTGCTCTCTTTGAGCATTTTAGAGAGTCAGAAAAAAGCAACTTTGCACTCGGTTGGCGAACCTAAGCACGGACTTAGAGTGGAGCAGCTGCTTCTCCTTCCCTTTCATTTATTTCTGACTGTAAACCTTCCCCTGACACCCGTCCTTGGAGGCCAAGCAAGCCCGAGAAGACTTCTTCATAATATCTAGCCTCAGAGCCTAAAGCAATTTAAATTCATAGCTTCAAAATAAATCTTTGTTCCTCTGAGGAGCCCTGGCCTCCAAGGCTGAGGCTGCAGGGGTGGAGCAGGGGCTGGGGTGGAGGGGACTCTCGGGTTTTGGGTGCTGGGTTTTTACCTGGCTGGGGTGGAAGCCATCCACCGGTTCGATCAGCTGCCAGGGCTCACCTCCCATCTTGTGCCACTCCTCGGCCGCTGTGAACAACACAAGCAGAGGGGTTACCACTGGTGAGTGCATACGCACGTGCCCGGAGATGTACCCTCCTCTTCCTCAAAGCACCGCTGGTGCTTTTAAGCACAGGATGGCTCTGCATGAAGATTTTGATAATTGATATAAAGTCATCAGAGACAATATTGTGTACAATCCCCCCTCCCTGGGGCAGTATTTATGCCTGTATTTTTAATTTTTTTTTCTCTGTGATACTTAGGCAAGGAAGTGCTTTGGACGCAAATGACCATAAAACAATTCACTTTCCCTCCCAACTAAGATGGATGCTGTAGCAAGTAAGGCTGTAAATTGTTTAATACTGATTTAATACTTTTGCATTTCCCATTTTAGTTGCATCTTCAGCAGCACACAAAAAAGAAAAAGAGATAAAACAGAGCTTTTTAGAGAAAGAGACGGTAACACGATATCGCATGGGGTGATGTCTGCAGAAATAGACTGTCATTTTCAGTTACTTCTCTTCTGAGCGGTCTTTTTCAACTCCAACAAAAATAACCTTTTGAATTACACAAGCATGACATTCAATGCAAATGATGCTGTGCTGTAAGCCCCAGAGCCATTAGAGAAGTAAAAAGCTTTCTCTCTTCGAAAGGACTGTGGAGTGATCAAACATGGGACTAGTGGATACGGCATTGCCAGTCTGTAAATTCAATGATTTCTTTCGTAATGACAGATGATTAGGAATTCTTAGTAGCATTATGCAGGCATCCACCATGGAGTGGAACATATAGACGCACAGAGTGAGCTTGTCTAACCCCTTGTATATGATGTTATATGTTTATTACGAGGCTGTGTGTTGTGTTTTACTTTGCAGGGGAACTACTGTTCCAGTACCAGAAATAGCAGACCAGTAAGTAAGGTAAGTAATGGTTACATCAAGGTAGGTGAATTTAGACCATTATACTTGACCTCCAAAAATCCTAGAGCAGTTGAACACCCACTGAGTATGTCCAGAATTTGTCTTAAAAGTGCCTATGGCCTTGGCTAGACTAGACTACATCTTGGTCCTGTCCACACCAAGAAAAAGCCAAAACAAGCAACCGCTATCCTATTTATTTGCACAGCTTCTTAAAGGAACCACTAAGTTCTTCAACCAAGGGCAACATCCGAGCTTGAACTTCCATCCCAGTGTTCTCAAATTTGAATCCCAAGAAAGCTGGGAGCTGCTATGTGTATATATACATATACATATACATATACATATACATATACATATGTGTGTGTGTGTGTGTCCTGGCCAGCCTGAAATCAATGTACTCACCACAGTGTGCAACCACTGCGAAGTATTTGATGTCTGGAGAGTTTATGGGAGGATTTGCACTTGCTTCAGAAAGAAACCAAAAAAGTAGGTCAGCAGCCGTAGCTGGCTTTTGAGCGCTGACAGCTTTGCTGATGGGAAGCTTGAATCGTTGGCTCCAGGGCTGCAGGGAACTTTTTGCAAAGTGTCATTCAGAGCTGATGTTTGTATTATGTTGCATGTGTGATTTTGTTTACCTCATTTATTTAACGCGATGTAATCAAGAACAGCAAATTATATTAGATGTTTCTTTTCGTGAAAGCAAATAAATTACCTAAAGTTAGTCATTTAACTTATTAAAGTAATTTGCCCACCCAGCAGGTAGTTTGTTCCAAATCCTAATGACTTGTTAAAATATTAAGTAGCTGAGGCAAAAGCTGCAAAGAGACTTGGACATCCTGAAACTCTGTGCTCCAACGTCAAACTTGATCGTGGAGCCCACCTCCCTGAGATAAGGTTTTGGCCAGAAAAACTCCCTCCCCCATCCTCCCTACTTTACCTCCTCCATGTGGTTTGCATGAGACCCAGCACCAGCTTCCTGAGTTGGGTCATGGAGGATAAAATAAGTTTGTGAATTTTGAGGGGATTTGGCTGCAAAGGAGATTTTGCAATAACCTGAGGTGCCTCAACAGCTTCGTGCTTCCAAGGAGAGCCAGGCACTGATGGAGAGAGGTGTTGGAGATGTGCACTTTGGAGTAGTGCCAGGGTGCTTCTGTCCCTTCGTGGCTCTGTTTTCAGCTGTTTGAATGCTGGGATTTAAAATGTAGTCCCCAGGCAACATTTTTCAAGAAGGACCAACATGGAACTAGCTCTCTATGTGAATATAAAACCAAGGAAATGCAGATCAGGGCTTTTTTCCAATTATTATATACTAATTTTGGAACACACAAATTAATGTTATTGGGGAGGGCCCCCAGGTGGCCAGGGCTGGAGATCCTGCCCTGAATGGAGGCTGAGGGACGGGGGTGGTCCACCCTGGGGAAGAGCTTTTGGGGAGGCAATGAGGATGGGAATAAGTTAAAACATGGGAAGTTCAGGCTGCACACAGGGAAAAAGTTCTTTTCCTGCTTTCCCATCACTATCTAACTACTTGAATATGTTGCTCACCTCAGTCCCTAACCTCATGCTGATTCTTTTTGCTGATTCTTTTTTTCAGAAAGGAAGAGTGAGTGTGCTCATCCTTGCAACAGAGCTGGGCTGATGCTGGGCGACGCCTCAACCTGGACCCACGCACATCTCGTGAGGGAAGCAGAGCTAAGAGGGATCCAGACAGCCCCACAAGGACACTGTCCACTCATGGTAAAGAGGAAAAGATTCTGGTTCTTTTATTTTTTTTTAAGTATCAGTTGCAGAAGGACATGATTTAGATAATGTGCTTGCCTGATGTCACAGAAGATCACAGAAGGATGAGTTTTGTAAACTCTTCAAGTCAAAAGTTACAGTAGTATAAAAAAAATAAAACCAAATTGTATAGACTGAGATAGGTTTGAGATTTATTTTTTCTTCATCAGACTGAGAACCTGCCATGGACAAGCAGGAGGCATTTTTAGCAGAGGCTCATCTGCTGTCCCTGTCACCTGGCCACCAACACCCCTTGCCACCCAAGTGCAAATGGCCAGAGTGCTGCGCACCAGGAGCAGTGGGGAGGTTGTGGCCCCCAGGCTGGTGGTGGGGTCTTGTCTTGGCAGAAATCTGTGGTTACCCCAAGCAGGGAAGCCGGGAGATGGCATTTAGGGTCCTCCCTTGTACCCAGCCCTGCCAGCAAGGTCACCTAAGCTGGGTGGCTATGCTGCCCTTCTCCCAGGACAGAGCTAAAATATAAGGAGCTTGCATATCAGCAGCCCAGCACTTGACTAAATGCTTTGTGAGAAAGACAGGGAAAAAGCCACTTACTTTGTCTCAGTGGGAAATCCATGTAGAAAACATCAAAGTTGGCAAATTTCTCAGATCCTGCTATTTCTTTCAGGACGTTGGAAAGTTGTAAAGCTCTCTGAAAAAATCAAGCGATTTAATGACAATTCATTACTACTCATGCTGTTTTTTGTGGATTCAGCTTTTGTCACCGATGCAAGCTTTTGAAAAGCTAATGTTGCCCTTTTAGCTGGGGGAAAGGAGGTGGAATTGGGGGTTCTTCATCGTAACAGAGACTTGCATGAGCACCACCAGCCTTTGGGCTACCCACCATGCAATATGTCATTGCAGGTTGCGCTGAGGCCTCGGCTGATGTGACAAGTTTAATACAGCATCTGGTTATTTTACTGGAGACCTCTTCTAGGAGTGTGTCTACGCCTGTATAAATATTCTGAATTTCTCTGTTTCAGTGGCTTCTTGATGAGCGGCATCCCAGTCATTTCCATTCCTTTTAAAGAAAACGGAAACTTCATACAGGAAAAATATTCTCCTTTCCCATTATCCTTTGTGCCACTGTGTTGTGGGTGTTAATGCTTGTCTAGCAGACCAAATTCTGCTCTTACTTTCAGCAGAGCAAATTACCTCCATTGAGCGCCTACATAACTGATCTATCCAGTGTGATTTCTACAGCCGTAGCAGAGATCAGGATCTCCTAAATATTTAAATGGTGTGGTCTGGATAATAACACAGACAATTAGTTTCAGACAGGGGCTTAGGAAGAAGATTAATTCACACCCTGCAGACATATGAATTGTTCATGGACAGAAGTTATGTGTGCTGTATGTTCTGTATTGTTGGTACGAATATATAAGCTGCGAAGATTAATCAATTGCCTTCTCTGAAGTCAAGAGGGACAGGACATAAAATGAAACACATATGTAAGCCTTGGTGAAATTAAGGCCATATTTTTTGTTTAGTGAATGTAAACATTAATACAGCTGTACCCAGAGATGACACCTTTGACGATATTTGGTTACTGGCTCTTTTACATGGCTGCAGAGGGATGCTGAGATTAAAAAGCAGCTGGTACCATAAGGGAATAAGTGGCTGATATTATGTGACATTCCCTTCTGGAGACAGATTTTTACAGCAAGCTTAAAAACATCATCTCTGTTCTGTCTGTCCCCATTCCTTCACTGAGCCTGGATGCTCCTTGGTCATACCATCTGGCTATTAAGTCCCCAGAAATGTGTTTGAAGAAGATTTGCACAAATCCCAGATGAAGACAGGGGAAGGCTCTTGCTCTCAGGGACTCTTTCCTCTGCCCGCAAAATCTATGCATTTGGCTTTTCATACTCACAGCTACTCGATCCACAAGCCTTTTCTTTCTTATCTGTTTTCTCCTTGAAGAACATGAACCTGAACAGTTTTGTCTCAGGGAGGTCACATCCCTTGAGAATAAATTTGGGCAGCTGAGAGGTTGAAAAGGGAATACATTTCCTAATCCCTTAATTTAACCACGCTGGGTTCTGGGACGGGTTTGAAAGGATGGGTACAGATGTTTCTGCATCTTCTCCCGGCCTTTGAGAGAAAAAAGTGTGCTGATGTGTCACCTTTGAGATATGAGGCTTATATCCTGAGATACAGAGACAAACTGTAAGAGCATCTGTCCCACTGCAGCCTCATCTAGACTTACCTCCGAGGTCAGATTCCTGAGGGTCTCGTTGGGGGTCAGCCAGCCGCTACAGGGGCTCACCTGGGCAGGCACGGGGAGCGGGGCTTTAGCAGCGGGTCGAGAGGAACAGGGGGCTCGTAAGCTACAGCCGGAGACCTTACCTCGAGACAGTTGAGGAAAGCATAAAGTTGACTGTATGTGATATCCCTGTTCAGCTGCCCTGCAAAGCACAGAGGGGGAAACTTCACTGATGGCCAAATATAACTTCATTTTGCAGGTCTGCATGTTCCCATGCATTAGACCCCTCTGTGGGGAGAGGCACCCCAGGAGCCCCAACACCCTCCCCAGGTTACCCTCCTGCCAATAGAGCTGGGATGCGACAGAGATGACACCGATGCATCCTTCCCGCTAAAGCACCCATGTCCCCACAGCATGCAAAGCTGCTTTCGCTTTTCCCACATCCTTCTCTGGCCTTTCACAGGTGATTCGTCTCGCACACGGGGTTAGTCATTGCAGCCTGTGCCCATCTCCTAAGTAAGCGACTGATATTTTATCATTATCCTTTTGCGGGGGGCCTCTCACTCTCCAAACAAACAGTGGTTGCAAAGCTGAAGGGGAGGTTAAAGGTGCCTGTATATACTCTGAGTTTTGCATTTACCTCGCAGAGATTAGCCTTAAGAGGGAGGAACAATTTTGCTGTCGCGGAGGGAAGTGGATATGCTTGTGTGGGTGAGCAAATTCAAGCACCGAATCAAACACCCAGCTGCCGTTCCCTAAAATACACTGTGCTGCGCAACAACCTGGCTTGCCAAGAAAATTACCCATTTTCTTGACCTTTTTGCTTCCTTGCTAGCTGCAACCAGAAGGGAAATCAAATGGCTGCTCTGTTCTCTGAGTTTGCAGTGCACCAAGTGTCCCATTTTTTATTTGTTATTTTTGCAGCGCTGAAATATGCAGTTTTTGTTGTTGCTGCTTCAGGAACTGCAAAGTATGATCTTTCCCAAGTGAAACAGACCCCTCAGGTTATTTTGCAGCAGCTCTGTGATACAGATGCAATTCCTGCCTATCGCACAGCTGCCCAGGGAGCAAAAGACGGGGTGCTCAAAGATCTTGTGTTGCTCCCGGATGGTGGGGATGCCCTGGACCCACATAGCCTGAAGCTCTCCATCCCTGGGATGGGCTGACGTGGGGATGAGGGATTTGGAAGAAAGCCAGACCGACGTCTGGTCATGCCTGACTGGTATCCAAGTGGGGAAACCTGCTTGCAACACGTCAGAGAATCTGCCAGAAGTGATGTCTTGCTGCGAAACGTGTTGCTTTGGATTAACTGGGTCCCTCCAAGGCAAATCAGCCCCTCTGAAAAATTTCCAGCTGGTCCTATAGCTAATCACTCCTGACTTGACTCATGCCCAAAAGAATGCTACGTGTTGTCTCTGATAATTAGATGTCCGGTAGAGGAACCGTCCTTGTGACAAACGTATTCAAGGAAAGAAATGTGTTTATGTGACTGAAAAATAATTATCACATCTCCCCCTGCTCTGCAAGGGACAAGATTTTTTTTTTCTCTGTTTTAATTGGTAGTAGTATAGTACTTACTAGAAAAAAAATGTAACAAGGCATCAGGAATAGAAATGGAGACCCCAGGCTTCCTGAGAAGAGGTGAGTACTTTTGAAGAGTAAAATAACCCGTAGTAGATAACACAGAAGCTGTGGAGCCACTGGCAATGACTGGGGAACCTTGGGGAAACCACAACACAGAGTCTCCTGAAAGCTCTAGTACCCAGTGGTTGCCAAAATAATCTGAAGATATAATCTACTGTTTTAATGATTTGATTTAGCTTCTCCCTCTCTCTCTCTCTTTGCTGATGAGAACTAAGATTACGACAACTTTCCACTTGCTCAGATGCAAAAGAGATTCCTTTACCCAAATACAAATCAGAACATGCTGTTGGTCTAAGATTTGGCAATAGAATCTCCACTATGGCTTCTTGCACACAGTCTACACTGAAGAACAAGAGACTTAACTTTAGCTGTTTGCATAGAAACTTTCTTTACTCCCTGCAGAAAGTATTTCAAATTCTTTATTCTTCATTACGGTGACTGCACTCTGAGGGAACATCCCAAAACTTGCCTGCACTTGGTGCGAGGTTTCAGTTACCCCTGTAGGTAGCATAGGAGGTGGCAGGCACCCAGCACTGGTGGGAAATTTATTTCTCTGATATCTAACCAGTCTTTCACAAATCCCTGACTTAATCTTCTGTCCTGGTCTACATCCAGTTTACCAAGGCATCCACCAGCCAGCGAGTGGAGGTGTTCAGCAAATTTCCACCTCCACCTGTAACAACAACCAGGATGAAGCGCAAGCAGGCTGGCTGCAATTTTTGGGCCAAGGCTGAGGCAGAGCAGCTTGTTTCCATGTCCACAGCATGTGTTGAGCATGGTTCAGAGATGAGTGGGTCCAGCTGGTGGGTGAACCAGGCAGGACAGGGGTCTGCCCTTTAGCTGCCCTGTCCTGCGCTGAGAAAGGTAAGCTGGCTCTCTTACTTCTACTGCATAGCCAATATCATAGAATCATAGAATTATAGACTGGTTTGGGTTGAAAGGGACCTTAGAGATCATCTAGTTCCAACCCCCCTGCCATGGGCAGGGACACCTCCCACTAGCCCAGGTTCTGGTCTGTCTCATATCTGTATCTGTCTCATAATTCTCAGATTTCCCCCACTCTGTCAGGTTTGCTTGAATTTGTCAATATATTCATAAATTCAGGGAGAGATGGCAACATGAGCAGGCAGATGACAGGAGGAACCCCACAACATCTCCCATTTACCTAGAGGATGGTATCTGTCGTGCAGGTTATCCCAGAGGAAGCGCCCATCCACCAAGCCTGTTAAAATCACGTGGCTGCCGTTTGGAAGACAGGAATCCAGGTATCGCAGAGCTTGCAGCACGTTGGAGAACATTGCTTTGGGTGTAGTCATGTGAGCCAGCGTGTCACGGTTCCTGCAGAAGAAGAGGTTGCCAACAGGTCATCGTGTCAGGTAATACTGTGCCCCCAAAAAAGGGCACCTGAAATGATAGCACTTTCTTCTTTGCTCTTCTTCCACATTAAGTTAGCTATATAAAATCTTATAAAAATGATGCTATGTGTTTTAGACCCTTATTGTTATTGCCAAAATAATGAGTGATATCGAAATCTCCCTCAGTGTAACCTTTCTCCCTGCTAAAAACAGACAGATACCTCTATTCTAGAGTGACCTCCTGTTGTGTGTAAACCTTGGTGGGCAGCTAAGCATCACATTGCTGCTTCCTCGCTTCCTTCCCCACCCCTAGTGAGATGGGAGAAGAGGAAAGGAAGAGTAAAAGCAAGAAAACATGGAGGTCAAGATTAAAAAAAAAGTTATTGTTCAATAAGCGAAGGAGAAGTAGAAGAAGAGAGAAAGCAAGCAAAAGTGATGGAAAGGCAATCACTCATCACTTCCCATGGGCAGACCAATGCCCAGCCAGTTCCTGAGCAAAAGATGGCTGACCCCCACTAAAATCCCCTCCTCTCCCTTTTTATTGCTGAGCATGATGTTACATGGCATGGACTATCCCTTCGGTCAGTTTGGGTCATCTACCCATTTGTGCCCCCTCCTAACCTCTGTGAAGAAATAAGCCTTAGCTCTCCTACTGGTTTTACTCCATAGTTTGCAGATGAGTTAGTCTTTATGTACAATGCAGAGAGGTGAATCAGAGCCATGAAGCAGACGATGACCATGTTGGTTTCCTCTGGTGTTAAAAATCCACGTAAAACTACTCCAGTAACTCTGGCACCTTGCTCTTTGTAGCTGTTGCAGAGCATCTTAAGCCACTTGATGCAGAATCATAGAATGGTTTGGGTTGGAAGGGACCTTAAAGATCATCGAGTTCCAACCCCCTGCTGTGGAAGGAGGAGGAGGCTGGAGGGAGGAGGTACTTAAGATAAAACTGTCCTCAGAAAGGTTCATTAGGGTACAGCAGCTGTGGCAGTGTCCCACATGGACTGAACACCCATGTTTTGTGGCTCACTGGCAGGCCTGAGCTCCTTTGAGCTCAGGTTTATCCTTCCCCTCTTGCATTTAGCTGTAAATGCTGCAGGGAGTGAAAAAAAAAATAAAAAAAAAATCCTCAAGTTGAAATAAATTTCAACTTATATAAGAAAAACAAACAAGCAAAACCACCCCAGGCAGCCTAGAGAACACTGCTCTAGTTATGTTATTAAAACAACCTCTTTATTACAGAAAAAGCATTCACCTGCTCTCCCCCCGAGAGCTCTCGCTGTGCTCCCGTGGTGCCCATGGCCACAAGTCCTCACTCCGGCAACACCTGGGAGGTAGCACAGGGCCAGCTCTGGGTAAAAGCTTCTTGTTGTCCGGAGATGTCCCATTGCCCTCTCTCAGAGTGAAGAGTCAGTAGGGGTTGGAACTAGATGATCTTTAAGGTCCCTTCCAACCCAAGCCATTCCATGATTCTATGATAGGATGGAAAGAAGGATGCTGTTGTGTCCTTCCACAAACGCCTGGCAGCGCCAGGATGGCCTTGGCCCCACTGGGGCATGCAGAGCAGAGCATGTAAATCCATAAGTTGCCTTTTTTGATTTGGGAAAGACAATAAAGACATGCATTTGCAACACAAGCTCTTAAAAGAGCCTCCAGAAATAGCAGCAAGGGCACCATAGCATCAACGTGTGGGGCCGTGCATGACATAGACCATGCACACTGGGAATAGTGTTTTCATGACAGCTTTGGTCCTGCCTTGATGGTGCAGCTCAGCTGGACCAAGGCTTTCAGAGAGAAAGCCTCAACACCTGCTGAGGAACTGATCTCACTGCTCAAGAAGAAAGGCAGGGGATGTCCTTCCAAGCAGTGCATGAGGTTGAACTTATGTCCATCCTTATTGTTGCAGTGGTTTCCACATTTTCTCTTCCTGGGCTTGTAGGGAAGCAACCAGCTCAGCAGCTGGGAGGCTCCATCCAGGTCCTGTCCCTGGGAAAGTCCTTTCATCTCCTTCACGGCTTTCCAGAGTAAGAGAAGGGCAAACGATGCTTGCAGTGCCGAGTGAGCTGCTGGGGAATCAGGTAGGATTTCTCGTCAGTGAACACCGCAGAAGCAGGAGCTTTCACAAGCATTGGTGTTCTGTCTCGAGGCATTAGAAATGTTTGTTCTGGGGGAGGTGGACACTGACTCCCATGTGGGAGAACTGTGTTCCTTGGCAAGTATTTGGGATTCTTCAGTGGGCTGTGTTTTGCACACAAAATAATAATTAGGTGAGTTCCCTGGGCCCAGTTTATCTTAATGCAGGATGTGCTGCTGAAGCGTTTGAGACTTTCTGGCTAGGGAGAACTGAAAAACAGTATTAAGATTCAGGTTTATCCTTGTGACAGCCACCCAAGCAAGGCACTTTGGAGATAACACTGCGGTTCTGCCCCTTAAATTACTTCATTTCGCCTACAGGTGTTGGCAGCGCTTGATTCCCAAATACTGCTCTGATGTAAGGCCTCTCCCGCAAGTAAACATATCAGTGAGTCAAAATTAATATGACATTCATAACTCTGCTTGTTCTTGCCATTCTCTGCTGAAGTCATGCAGATATTTCAGTTCATTTCTTCACATTTCCTTTCTGTGAAATTAAAACTGACCAAGAAGCAAGCCATCACGTAGGTATGTTAATTTTTAAGCACTGCCATAAGGACTTCAAGGTGTTGGGTGAGCACCAGGGATGCTGGGGTACCCTCGCATGTCCTCCCTGGGAGGCAGCAGCCAGGGATACCCCCTGCCCACCCAGGACATCTGCAAGCTGATGTTGGCCATGGTTTATTGTGTCAGAGCATGGCAAGCGGGCGTTAATGTTAGGATTCTTGCTACATTGCTGCTGGGTATTTCAGGGAGCATTCCCTGTGCCCCTATAATACACAAATGCATATCCTTGGATGTGCCACACAGCTCCTGGGTGTTACCCTGCTTTGCTGCTGTCACCTTTCAGTTTGTTGCAGATGCCATAACTGCAAAGCTGGGAAAGAGAGGCTGGAGAACCGGTGTCTTATCCCAAATGAACCTAATACGTGTGACAGTTGTACAGCATTTGAGACTGCTGGTGCTTATTATTTTCTTGTCTGATTTTTTTTTTTTTTTTGTGTTCCAGGTCTGTGTGTCCCACATTTACACCTCAGTGGGCTGAGAGATATCATTGCCATCTGTCTTTATTTTTCTAACCCCCGGTGTTTGGCCACCCCAGTGTGGAGACTACTGGGAACGTGTAACACCGGCTGCCAATTTAATTATCTTTCTCCTCTACAAACACCCGTATTACTCATTGCCCTGCTCTTCGCATAGGATGACATAGTGGCATTTTAACAATGCTTTGGCTAGGAGCTGTGTCTCTGGTGTGCTCAGAAGGTAAAATACAGGATAAGACCATAACAGCGCTATTACTGCAGTTTAAAGCTATCCTTGAAGAGGTTTGGTTTTTTTTTATTTGTCAAGCCCTAGGTTTAAAGTCAAGCCCATCGGATGCTCTGCATCCTCTGTAACCTCTCTGGGTACATCAGAGGCAGGGCAGCTACACACAGTGACCAGAAGCTGAAAAAATCTCTCTCTGCTGTACATCCCACTCTATGGAAACAGCACGTTGCATCCGTTTCCGTAGCATCTTTCCTTGCTGGACTCATGGGGATCACTGCAGCCTGATCGCCTCTTTTGATGCTGCAAATGTTTTGGAGGAAAACAGACAGCAAAGAGAATTTGAGCAGATAAGCGTCTCTGCCAGGTAATGGATGCTGGGATAAAAAGGCAGTGGAGTTTCAAGTAATAAATACTGGTTTGGAACACATAAATGGGCTAGGCAAGGCCAAAATGGTTTAAAGTTGTGGAAAATGTCTTTTTACTGCAGGCAAGAATAGAAAGCAGTGGTAGAGACAGGGGAAGTGAAAGGAATAACCTGCAGAGTGAGGACCAAAAAGAAGGAAAAAGAAGTGCCTTTAGCAAAGACAGTGAAAGAGCAGAACTGACACTTGTGCACACCGGAGCCTGGGCCAAGCCTGAGACTCTAAAATCTTTGCGGCAGGAGCCACGGATTTGAGAAATGGTGCTATTTGGGGTGGCTCACCATCCTGGGGGGTGGCTGTAATGATACCTCCATAAGCTTTTTAATAAACAGATGCCCAGGACAGTCTTCTCAGCAAGTAGCAAGAGGTCTGTGGCTGCTTTTCTCACTCATTTGAAGGGTGGTGGCGTTACCTTTGAGGGTTTGTGCATCCTTCCCATAACAGGAGGGTGATGCAGTTCGGGGAGGGGGCACAGAAAGAGCATGAGCACCAGAGGGAGATGCCAAGGATGAAGGTTTCATGGAAGGTTACTTCTGTGTGCATATCCCGTGGTCAGGGAGGTGGTGGGGCCAGGGAAGGACCTAAAAGGTGGCCCCTGTGGTCCCACTGGCCTTTGGCCATCCCCATCTGGTGCACAACACCCGATGTGCAAATTTTCAACCCAAGCACTTGTTGTTAAGTGAAATTTTAGGATATCAAACCCAGGATATTTTAATGGCAAAGTCTGACAGCCTGCATAATATCTCCAGCTTCATTATACAACCTGCAGGTGAGACTTCAAAAGCTTCAGAAGGGGACTTAGCTGAGCGTGCGTCATTTATTAAAATTAGTGTTTTGAAGGTCTCTGAATACATCAGATTTATTTCTTCCGCTTAAAAGAAAACCTGAATATTCATCATGGTGAATATAATGTTACGCTAACAACAGCACTTGGACCACCTGCAAAACCAAACCTGTGGTAGGGATGTGCTGTGCACTGGCCTGGTTGCAAGGTGTTTTCTGCCTTCCCAGTACCAGGAGGAACAGAAGCATCCAACCAGTGACCTCTTGGCACCCCTGCAAGCATTGCTAATGGATAAGACCAGACCTTTAATTTTGAAAGTATTAGTTTTGAAAGCTTCAGTTCATTCTCCTGCTGGGCTTATGACGCGAGTAAAGCCAGAAAGACAAAACGCCTCGTCAGGAGAGCACAGCAAAGACGACAGGCGCTGTGCAGCAGAGGCAGGGTAAAAATAGACCTCGACAGGGGACTACGCTGTCATTCTTCAGAAAAGGTAAATCAGTCATGCTCTCCCTCCTGACAGGAGGTGGCACACTGGGTAAGGCGGATATGCATGCTTTTAAACTCTTTTTTTTCCACACCCCCTGTTGTTGTTACACTTAATTCATCTGCAAAGTTAGAAATATTCTGCTTCAGACATGTCATTGGTCACTTTATTAATACCTTATAAAAGAAAGAAAGGAAGACAAGCTCCATATGAGGACTGGTAGGTGGCCGTGACAAATACAGGTAGGGCAACAACCAGCAGAAAAATAAGAATGAAGCACAGACCAATAGCAAAGAAAAATGCCATCATGGGGAAGCACAAAGCAATGAGACATCGATGTCCAAGCAGCCAACAGTACCCTGAAGAAGTCACACTTATGACACTACAAATGTTAATTTGGTTTACACCTTACCCATTGCAGACATCATTCCCAATGGTAGCGTAGATTACTATGGCTGGATTGTCCAGCAGCTGGTTTCTGGCCAAGCTAAAAGATAAATACACAGCTATATTAATGGGGAAATAAGTTCTCTGTGTCTGAATCACACACCATGCTTGTATGAGATCACATTTGGAATTAGCTCATCTAGACGTGGCCAGTTCTTAGATGACTATGCTTCTATGTTTGGGAGAGGGCTTCTGGGGATTTTTCCCTATAGTTCTATATTTTAGTAAAGTTTCTTAAATATAGTTTTTTTCACTTCTCCCTTTTGCCCCTCGCGAACTTGTCTTTTTTGTTGTTGTTGTTGTTGTTGTTTTTCCTGCTGGCTGTCTATCTTTATATTATTTAGAAGACAAATCAAGTAGTTTCATTTTGGGGCAAAGACATAAATCAGGATGGGAAGTTTCTAATCAGAGATTGGAGAAGAAGACTATGCTTGGCTGACAGCTAAGGATTGGGCTCAAGCTCAAATCAGGATGTGGTCTGAAGTTCGGTGCTAGAGGGCAAGGATCCATTATTACTTTTTCTGGAGGAGAGAACAATACTTTCCTTACAGTGTTTTGCTTGTTTCTTTCAAAGATGTAGGACTTCAGCAACACTTCCGGACCCCCAGTCAGCATTTGAGTCCCGTTGAACACTCACCTTTTTATTAAATAGAGGAGGTTTCCTGAAGAACCACCTGATCACACACAGTGGGAATAAGAGACATAATACAACATGGTTATAGTGACAAACAAAATGAAGTGCAAAACCCAACTTGATTGTGTATTTTCAAGAATGTAGAAACATTAAAACCAAATATGGAACAAGCCATCTCTGCAACTTTTTTGGGTGCTGGCATTATGAAGTAAAGCTATATTCAGGGACCTGCTGCCTCTTAACTTGGGTCCCACTCTTCAGACTGTAGAAAATCATCTACTTTTAAGTGCTGGGTTGTTTGGATCTGGCTTTTAATCCAGCTCTGGCATCTTCTTCCCATCTGTTGAACATAGTAGTCTCTTGTAAACCAGCCAACCTGACTTGTCAACAGTTGATCTACTTTTAACTCTCCCTATAAATTGCAAAGGGAACTGTTCTCACTCTTCTGAGAGAATCAGTGTCTCACAGCTATACCACGTTGGGACTGATTCAGGTCCTAAACATAGGCATCAAGTGGCATTTTTGACATCCCAGAGTATCCAAGACACCTGCAGCAGGGATGGTAGATACAACATGGGGTGCCTGAGAAATTGTGCACTTCTGGAGAGGCAGCTGGAGGTGGGAAAGATATTGTAAAGCATCTTAAATAGCACTAGACACCAACGTTTGGATGTCTGCATTGCTCTCCCCACCAGTGGCAGACTTAGGAAAAATAGTATTAGGCCAGCTGCACCCCTCCCAAGAAACCCTGCATTTCAATGGCAATTCATCCAAAGGGTTAGATGCAAATCTTTCCTCCTCCAGGAAAAAAGCTAGCTACACCTGAGCATCTGTGAGAGCCTATAATCTTTCACATATCTTCAATGACAAAAGCATTCCCAATTAGGAAAGCTTTTCTGCATGAAACTTACCAGCAGGTCTTTAAAGGCTATGCATACACATCCCAGCTACCCACGGTGCACAATTCAAACTCCATTACCTGCAGTGCAAGAGTGATGGCAAACGAGGAGCCAATAAAGGCTTTATCTTTTGTCCAGTATTAGACTAGGACCATGACTACAAGCAGCTCACCGCACAGCGATGTACAGAAACATAAACTTCAGAGAAGCAGACTCTACACGTTGCATTTGCTTTTATTTTGCAGTATTTTCACTCTCTCCTCTTTTCTTGCTCCTTCTCTTGTATTACATACACTCCCTCTGTTCTTCACTCAGCTCCTCCCTTCTCTCTCACATCTCTTTTCTGCATTGTGCCTCTGAAGCTCGCTTTGAGGAGCAGATCCTGTCCTCCCCGCAGCTCTTGGGGGGAAACTCGTGGACAGAACATCATTAAATCCCTGCTGGATTGGTACAGGGGAAAGATCTAAGAGATAAACCCCTAAGGCAGCAATAATACACTTTGCATTTTAATAATAGTGCTTTTGTTATTATCACTCACAGTGATGCCAACTGCATACATCAAGGAATCCTTTATGTTTTAAATAATCCAGTTCTTCCAAGCTAAAAATGAATATATCTGTCTGCTGCTTCTCTTCCTGAGGGTCGCCAGTCCATTCAAAATCCAGCCCTTATGTTGAGAAGCTCTTTGCAGCAGAATAAGAGCCTCACAAAATCCTTAGAAAATATGCCTTGGAACATAACTACTGCTAGCTGATTTTTTTTTAATGTTAAGTAGACCTTCTTTCAGCTAGAGTTGAACACCCCCCTGCGAAGCCATTCTGCTCCATGGCTCCCTGGACTGGGGCTGCAGTTCCAGCACAAATAAGCCATTGAGATCGCTAGAAATTAAAAACGTATTTACAAAAAGAGTAAGAAGCTGTTCTTGGGTATGTATTACTTCCACAAGCATAGGTAGTTATAAACAGCTCCATGGAAAGCATTAGCAACAGTTACAAATCAAGTAAAAACATCAAGAAAATGCAGAGAAAAAACCTGGGTCCAAAAGTGCTGCATGGCCAAGAATGGCTTATTGCCTTCTGATCATCTGCTCCTTCATGCTGTAAAAGCAATTGGAAATGTAACTGTGCAAAGAAAAAATGTCTCTGCTTTTCCCCAAATAAACTCCAGGTGGACTAGAATTTCCAAGACAGCCCATGAAGAAAGAAAAATTATTTCTTAACTGACTTTACTGTCAGGATGCTTCTATCAAAATAAATGATCTTCAAGAAGTGCTGGAGAACATTTAGAAGATGTTCCTAACTCTGCACCTGAGAATTGATGCCTGGTCCTCACAGCTGAGGATGCCACTCACCCAGTCAAAAACCAGAAATAGCACATGGCCTACAAACCTGTGTGAAGCTGCTGGGAGGCAAGACACCAAAACCATATTGAAAACAGTAAACTCATAAAAGGTATCTGTAGAAAACCTGAACAAGCCACTTTGATGGAAACATTGATGGGGACTGTGAGCTGCTTGCTGTGCAATCACAAGCTGAAAGCAGCAACACTGGCAGTGAACAGATTTGTTATTGTTATTAACCTATATCTCATATGCCAACTCTTCCTCTCATTGCATATATCTGGGGCTGTGAAGCATCATTTTCAGAGGAAGGGTAAGTTGTTCCAGGTGGGGCTAGGTCACGTTGGTGGACAGCTTTTTGCTTTGCTGATACTGAAAGAGGTCATTTAAATCCTCCCATTCAGGGGAACTATTACACCAAATGCATCAATAGAAGCAAATCTTTACAATGCGGTGTCAGTGCAGTGATTAAGAGAAGATACCGAGGGAAGATATCCTGGGATTTTTCTATGACTTGTCATTTTTCCCCTTTTTTAAATTCCCTTCTCATTTTTCTTCAGTCTTTTGCTCACACAGGCTCACCTCCTCTTCTATCCTGCAGGTGTCTGTAGTGTAAATGGAAAGGAAATACATGGAGATGCACACAGTGAGAGTTTTTTGTTTGGTCTTTTTTTAATCAAGTCTGCGAGGGAATTGGGAAAACAGAAGAGCAGAAAGTACAACCCCCCATTGACGTAAAGAGAGCAGAACAACGTAATACAGCATCAGGTGCTGAGATGAATGGGATAAAAATGAGAAGAGCCAACCCTACTCAGATCCAGAAGAAAAGACACCGAGTTAAATAAGTGCTGTTCTCTATTTTTGCATATGAAACACATGCAATTAGGAATGGGTTTCTCTTTGTGTCTGAAAGATGTTCATTAATGCAGCATCAAGTATCAGACTAGTCAGGTTAAAAAAAAAAGTGAAAAAACCGTAACATACCATTTTGGGAAATGTTCTGTAAGTCTCTGTGATTGCAGCGATTTCTCCTGCGTAAACGTAGATACAGAGAGTCTGTCCAGCCTCTGAAATAAATGGAGAAAATGCAAGCTGCTAAACTCATTTGACACCGATGAAAACACAGCTGGTATTAAAAATGAAGTATATATGTTCTCATCTCTGAACAACTCTGTGCCCCAGTTACGTATATACTTCTATTTCACCATCTCTCTTTTTTTTGGTCATAAATCTTTTTCACCCTGAATAGGGTGGCGTAAAATGGAAGCCAAGATATATCCCCAGAAACTATGAATTGATGGAGAGTTTCTTTGAAATTCTTCCATCCAGAATGTTTTTATCCTGGTCTTTCAGATAAAGTTTTTAAAAACCTTTTTGTGGTACATCATTTGTCAAAACAATCCTGTTGATTGCTCACTAATTGACTTTTCAATTGGTTGTTATGGAACACTAAATAAAAGAGAAAAAATATTGGCAGGGCATTCATTTCTCAATGCCATAAATCTTGGGTTGATTAATCCGAAAACAGGTTATACTTGATTGTGATTAGTTCTCTTCTTTATTTTGCACTGCTGAGAAAAATGAAAGTGCAAAAGGAGAAGCCCAAAGGGAAGCTGATGAGAAGACCACGCTCCCAGCCATGAACACATGGTCACAAACAGTCCTTTTTTTTTTTTTTTTTCCTCCAGACATTGAAGAGATTAAAAAAGAGATTAGAAACTGAACACTGAACCAAGGTCTGTCACTGACAACTTCAGGGTCAATACCAAGCTTTGATCCCTTGTGAACTTCAGATTCTTTGGAGCCTAGTTAAATACTGTGTATTGAGTAGCTGGACATTGTAATGGATTTTTAAAGGCCAATTTTGCTGCTGACTCTGAAAGAGGAGGCTACATAGATCTATCTTCTCTGTTGGCTCGTCAGGTAGTACGCCACGTTAAGGCATACACCCTGTGAATGCAGCCAGGGCTGGAAGCCTGGTTTTTGCACAGGGAGAAAAAGGGAAGCACAAAGTACAAGTGTATGGTGCGACAGATATTTTTCCTGGAAAATAATATATCCTGCCAACTTTTTTATTCTGTTGGTAGAGAGCTTCTTTACGCTTGACTCATGCTTGGCTTGGCATTTCACTGTGTTCCTGACCTGTCTTAGATATATAAAATAAAAATTATCTGAAACCCAGGCCAGACCAGACGCTGTTGATGACTGTATCTTTCAATTCTGGCAGGAGTCAAGGGCCTCTTAATGATTAACAAAATTATGATTTTTCTTTTTCACAGTTAAAACTGTAAGCATTTCAAGATGGTTTGGGGTTCTTTTTTGTGTTTGGACTTTATTTTCCTTCCTTTCTGGCAGAGACTTCTTTTTTTTCCATCTATCCCTGCATCCTTCCCCATCCACATGAACCATTGTAACACAGCAAATTAGGTCACAGACGCTTCCAAATTCTTCTTTTGCTACTTCCATCTAAACGTGAAAAAAAAAGGGGGAGGGGAAGAAAGATTGTCCCAAAAAAGGGAACACCATGAAATAACCCTGGGGTTACCATTTATTCTACTGTTTCAGCAGCACAAAGGAAACAGGAGGAAGAGAGAAAGAGAAAAAAAAAACCTAAGAAAAGGAAAAAGCTCATTTTTGTTAGTTTCAGCAATGCTCCCCTTCTTCCAGAATTTTGAAAAATGTGAGTTTGGTTTTTATTTCCTCATTTTTTTCTCCTTCTAAATTACAATTTGACCAGCTCTGAAACCTACCCTGGATTTCAGGAAGACTGAGCTAGAAGAGTATGGTGCATTGTTCATATAGTTAAAAGATTTTTTAAAGTTTTAAATTTTAGAAAGAGCAGAAGCAGAGCTGACTAGCATTTTTATCTCTCCTTTCAAGCACTTTTTTTTTTTCCTTGCTGTGCTTTGAGGGACCTTGAGACTTGCTATGACTTGGCCCCCCTCCAGTTGGCTTACCCAATGGTGGAGTTCAGAAATCCAGTGATCTCTGAGAACTGGGGCCAGTCAAGCTCGTTGGTGAAAGCCACTGGGAGATTAGCAAACGATTTCTGAAAGAGAAATTTTAAAATCAACACGGTTTCATCCTCACAGACAAGAAAATCCTTTCAACATACTTAAACACTTCTTAGCTGGAACAATAACCCCTCTTTGCTCTGCAGGTACTAGTCCCAAATGCTTTTTTAAGCAACTACCCCTGCGAAAGCCTCTATGAAGATGCAAGCCATATTGCACATCAAAATGCAGTGCTGTGTCATTTCCACTTTGATTTGTGAAGGTGTCAAAAGCTGTGAAAGACAAGAAAAATGGCCTCAAGAAATTGCGCCACCTCAGAAGGACAAGGACGTGGAGTAAATTTCCAGCTCCTAGTCCAAGGGATGCTCACAAAGACAAATGCATAAATCCAGCGTGCTCCTATTGAAAACCTGTTGATGAAAAAGGTAATAACCAAAAGAAGGTCAAAACATAAAATGGGAGAACTTGCAGGCTGGTTTAATCAGTGTAATTTATGAGCTTCATTTTCTTTTGAAATAATTGTGAGGTTTCCTTAAACTCATGCTACTACGAAGAGTAAGCAGGTGGGTAATTCTTCCTCCAGGAGGTTTGGAGGTAACCAAGGAACCACAGAAGATTTCAATATTGTGGTCCCCACTAAGTCCTCATTCCCACAAGACTATGGTTTAGGTGAATAGGAGCTATGCTTGAGAAATCCTGAAACCAAGCTCTGAGCAGCCTAGCCACAGCAGATGCCAGTTTAAATCCTGTAAAAGCATATTTAACCTACTTACAGTGGATCTGCATTAGTTACCGAGGTGTAAATGGGTCTGGCTTAATTATCTTTCAGTTGGTTCTCTCTCTCATACATATATGTGTGTCCTTATGTTTATCTATATGTACATATACATACATTTTTTTTTTTTAAGACTGGAGGGAACTTCTAGATTTTTTATTCTTCAAACCTGACAGCTTTGTGTGCAAACCCAAGGGCACAGCCATGAGCAGAAGTGGAGGGGTACAGTATGGCTTGGCCATCTGCAATATCTGCCTCCTTGGCATTAAAGGTGACAGAAATACTGAAATAAATCACTTAGCATAGAAAAAGCTATAGATATGATCTCTTGCAAGTCACAGCATATAAAAGTATAAAGAGAGCCCAAAAATTATTAAATATTTTTAAAATGAATCCTTCTATGACCAGTTCTCTCATTATTTCCCGTTACCGCTCCAAAATAATATATTAATTAGACAAGTCCCAGTAATTTTTAACTGCTTTTTCCGCTGCAAACTGAGCTTAAATATGAATTAGATGGAACCTAATTGAGTTGCAAATTGGTTTGGAAGGGAACATTTGAGCCCAGAATTATAGTCGCATTTGAAAACTGTATATATGTTTAGCATTGACACTGTTCCAGCAAAGCACTTAAAGCCAGCCTTTCGAAGATATTTCAGGACTGAAGGGTGCAGATGAGTAGTTAATGGCAATTTCAGAAGAATGCTAGACCTTGAACTCTGCAGGGCTGTCGTTTGGAAAGCTTGGTCTAACAGACTGCATTTCATTTAGTCTTGGATGCGAATGTCTCCCTCTCTAGAGGTTGATCTATGTTGACTTTTAGCTTAAAACGCTTCTGAGCACAGCTTTGTTTAAATACCATTCTCTAGACTATTCTGGCTGAGAAACCATGCTCCAGCCTACGTGCCAGATTTTAGCAGAGAATTATTGTTATTCCATGAAAGTTATTCCAGCCTAGCTTCAAATGCCATATTTTAGCCTCAAATGCTCTAGATGGGTCTCATTTTGAAGGAATGTCCTCACCTCCTAGATGTGTCCTACCTTGAAACAGGTCTCCCTGAACCCTCATCCTTCTTTTGCACCAGGCAAACCACAACTGATGCTAATTGCACACACACCGAGCTGTAAGCTTCAACAGAAGGATGTCCAGACTTGCTATGGCAAGAAATTTTCAAAATCAGGGCACAAACAGGCATTGGAAAACTCGCACTCATGTTAAGTCTTCAGAAATGCCACTCCCAGAAATCCCAAAAGCACTCAAGTATCCCTTAATTTGAAGGGGAATCAGGTATTTGTTTTTACAGTGGCCATAGTGGTGTTCAAATCCATGTGATAACATTAATTATTCTAAGTATACAAATAAGCAAACCTTAGAGCTCTTGGGAAGGAACCACCTATATCTTTTTAAAAAGCGTTTCTACTCTGTAAAGCTGCAGGGGACACAGGTTTGAAATTAGCAAAATTATTACCTTATTTCCCCCCCAAAACGCAGCATCTTGGGCATCACAATACTACCTGGGAGAAAGCTGCCTGCTGGGAGAAACTTTTCCTTAGAGGGAAGCTAGAGAATCTTTTTAATAAGATTTCCACAGATCAAACTCCTGTTTTTTCTAGTGGTGCAAAAAAAAAAAGAAGTCAGTGGGATAAGTGTTCAGGACATCCCGAGTCTGCATTTAAAGAAATGTTAAATTCTTTTAATAGGAAATATATAGTATGGAACAGTTACTTTAATGAAACCTGAGAACCCCTTGAGTTTGTGGGCAAATAGATATTTACTGGATTACAGATAGAAGTGGGATTTATTTTTCTCTTTATTCAGCATGAAATAGAGATCCAAGAGTTTTAAAATAAATCTTCCTAGAAAGGGTATAATTTCCAGCACATTTATAAATACAGTGCATTTATCTCCAGATAAAATTGTCTCTAAAATGAGATTTAAAAGTAAGCTTCTATCCCAGACATAGAACAGAAAAATGCTGCATTTAGTAGCTATTTGGAAGTCAATTGTAAGCAGATGGACAGAGCAGCAGGAGCACAATATCCATTGCTAGACACACCAGCGTTTTCAGCATTAGCTTTCTGCAAAAAGCATCCACCTCAAAAAAAAAAAAAAAACCCAGTATTTCTTCTGCTTTACTAAACCTGCATGACGCTTCATTTTTAGCATCTGAATTTTCATGTCCAAGGAATGAACATTCCGCTCAATTCTTGCTGAACTTTTTAAAAGAAGAAAAGCCTGGCAAACCCAAAACCTATTGAGAAGCAGAAAGTCCAAATAAAGTTGACTCATCCCCTTCTTACAGCTGGATAATTCCCTGCCTGTAATCGCACTCTGGGTGTTTGGGGACTTACTGGAGTGATGACCAGCTAAGGACAGTCTGGGACGCAGGAGTACGAGATTGGTCAATAAACTTCAAAATCAAAGTACCTGGAACTTCCCCTATTGCTACATAGGGTGGGGAAGATTTTTGTTGGGTTTTTTTTGTGGTGGTTTTTTATGTTTTTTTTTTTTTTTTTTTTTAACTGGAGAAATAACATGCGTGAGCTATAACTTTCAAATAAGTGTCCACCTCGTGACGGACATTTTCCACACCAAGTAGTGTCTCCGAACACATTTTGTGGGAAGAACATGCTTTAAGAGGCATGATAAGTGTATTTGTGACTGTGTCATAGGTAAAGGCAATGACATCCTGAGCAGATAAAGGTAAATGACATCCTGAGCCTGCTTCAGCAAGGAAATTTCTCATTCCCATTCACATTCTTTCTTCCCTCACTCGTTGTTACTACTCCTTTACATGGCAGACTATGTGGAGCATAATCAGGGAAAGCAACCATTCTGCAGAGCCTCTTAACTAAATTCTCAGCATCTCTCCTGAAAAATTATTTCCCCACCTAATTAGCTTTAAACCTGGAATGAACAGCTGCTGCTGACGTGATGCTGATTAACAAAAGGGCCCACAGAATTGTTACCAAGTGTGAATTGCTTTACACTTGGTATGTAAACACTTGTATATGTGAAATATACATTTATATTATATATTTATTTATATATTTCATATA